TTAACTATATTCAAAAAAATCGTGACCAATTTGGAGACATTAGAAGTTAAGTATGATGAAGGACTTGTTTCCTATGTTGTTGTGTTCATTGCCTATGATAAGACAACTTCGATTTATGCGATTTGAATTGTTAAGACAACTTCGATTTATGCTTTATGATAACTTCTAATGTGATCTATGATCTGCTTTCACTATACGTGACTTATTAATTTGGAAATATGACTTTGAATTGTTGAGACTTCTAATACAACTGTGATTTATGCTTTATAATATGATCTATGATCCACTTCCATATTTAATTGGAAAATGCAATCATGTGTAAAAGATAGGGGGGAACGTTTTACATATCTCTACAAATCACATATTGTTTGTCATAATCAAAAAGGAGGAAATTACTGACATATGATTAGTTCCACTTGTTTTGATTATATCAAACAATACACTTATGGTTCTAACATATCCAGTTTCTTGAGTTTTCATGTATAAATATTCCTAAAACATTCACAGGTACAAATTGTCATCAGTTGAAGAGTGTGCAAACAAAAGAGACTCGAAGAGAATAAGAATCATGAAGACCAGTATTTAGAAATTGTTTATCGAAACCTCGTTTATATGTAAAGGTATACTCATCAATTATTAGCAAAGCACATAAAGCTCAAACTATGTTTCATAATTCATCATGTGCATAAAAACGTTTTAGAAATGAAGATGATTTTGGAAAACGAACATTTTTTATATATAGTAAACTAACTCCAATATCCAGTCATTTTGGTCAACCGAAGTATGTTTCAGTCGACCGGTTTGATCGATTGAAGTATCAACTGGAACTCCAATGGTTTGATTTTTGCAACTGCTATATCACACTTTGGTCGACCCAACTTACTCGATCGAAAATGACTGATTGTATCTTCTTTGCTTTATAAATACGCATCTCCTTTTGCATTCAATTCTAAGAACTCACAAGAAATTTAAGAGAGCTCATTCATTGAATATCATTAAGATTACTTAAGTTTAAATTCTATTTCATCTATTTCTTGATTGATTCAAC